ACAAGCTAGGCTCCAGCAGTATGTGGACCAAGAACTACCAGAAGTACAGGCTGGATTTTGAAGAGGGAGAGGAACTAGAGATCAAATTGCCAACATATGCTGGATCATGGAGAAAGCTAGGGAGTTCCAGAAAAACATCTACTTCTGCTTCATTGACTACACTAAAGCCTTTGATTGTGTGGATCACAACAAATTGTGGCAAGTTTTTAAAGAGATGGGAGTACCTGACCATCTTATTTGTCTCTTGAGAAACCTATATGTGAGTCAAGAAGCAATAGAACTGGACACGGAACCACTGATTGGTTCAAAATTGAGAAAGGAGTTTGGCAAGGCTGTATACTGTCGCCCTGCCAATTTAACTTATATGCAGAGCACATCATGAGAAAGGCAGGGCTAGATGAATCACCAGCTGGAATTAAGATTGCTGGGAGAAATATCAACAACCTCAGATATGCAGATGATACCACTCTAATGGCAGAAAGTGAAGAGGAACTAAAGAGCCTCTTGATGCGGGTGAAGGAGGAGAGTGCAAAAGTTGGCCTGAAACTCAACATTAAGAAAACTAAGATCATGGCATCCAGTCCTCTCACTTCCTGGCAAATAGATGGAGAAGAAATGGAGGTAGTGACAGATTTTACTTTCCTGGGCTCCAAGATCACTGCAGATGGGAACTGCAGCCAAGAAATTAAAAGACACTTGCTCCTGGGGAGGAGAGCTATGGCAAATCTAGACAGCACACTAAAAAGCAGAGATATCACCCTGCCAACAAAAGTCCATATAGTCAAGGCTATGGTTTTCCCAGTTGCAATGTATGGCTGTGAAAGCTAGACCATAAGGAAGGCTGAGTGCCAAAGGATTGGGGCCTTTGAATTGTGGTGCTGGAGGAGACTCCTGTGAGTCCCTTGGACAGCAAGGCAATCAAACTGGTCAGTCCTAGAGGAGATAAACCCTGACTGCTCTTTAGAAGGCCAGATCCTGAAGATGAAACTCAAATACTTTGGCCAGCTAATGAGAAGGAAGGACTCCCTGGAGAAGAGCCTAATGCTGGGCACAATAGATGGCAAAAGAAGAAGGGGGCGGCAGAGAATGAGGTGGCTTAGATGGAGTCACTGAAGCAGTTGGTGTGAGCTTGAGTGGACTCCGGGGGATGGTGGACGACTGGAAGGCCTGGAGGAATGTTGTCCATGGGGTCGCGATGGGTGGGACACGACTTCGTGACTAACAGCAACATGGGTAGGTGGTAAGTTTTACACTTTGGTTTTGATACTTTACTGTATTGTAAAGTATTTAATGGTCTTACATTTTGTCTTGTGAACCACACAGCAAAGTTTGGCTAATGAGTAATGCAGAAATGTAATGCATAAACATATACATTAAAAGCACTTATCTAAAGCACTTATCTAAACATTTTACCAGTCTGCAACAGCAGCCTGTTTAGGAAGTCTTGGAAATAACAAGTTTTTGTTTTGTTTCTATGAGATCTCTAGCACAAAATGAAGATTGTTTAAAATGTGAACAATAACACTGGCTGCTTTTTGAGACTTTCACTGTTGCATCTCAGTTGATAAACACAGTGACAAATGGGATTTGAAAATATTGTTATTGACATGGTTTGTGTTAGAGAATCTTTCTGACTTTCAAACAATATGAGCATTTGGCTTCAGTTGACTTCAAAAGATGTATTGGTTTTTAGCACAGTGGAAAATGCATTCAGATCTTTACAGAAGATGCATACAGATCTTGACATTTTGGTTCTTGTTTTTTACACTGCTGCATGTTAGGGAAAGTTCCACAAAGCTAGGAAGCTGATGTATTAGCAGATATACCCTGTGATCAGTAATGATGTTGTAAGCATGTCCACTTTGTGACATTACACAATTTACCCTCCATGCCCTCACATTTTGCTTGGGCTGTCAGGCCCAGATCCAGGTGGAAGGCTGGAGTGTCTGAGGCCAGCAAAGATGCCCATATTGTCCTGGGCCTGCTGCCTTATGAAGCTTCTGAGCCTGACTCCATTGAGTTGTCCCATGCTTGTATGTGTGTTTATTTAGCCCAGGTGTATCTGCATGCATCATCTGTACCTTGGATTATGTACCTTCTAGCATCTGTGTACATATCAGATATGAACACATGTAGAGGTGAGCCCTGTTCAGGCATTAGAAAATCTTAAGTGTAACAGGGGAATCATGGCAGATTTGAGATCCAGTGTAGAACACCATAACTAGTCAGCCCATCTCTATTTGTTTCCCCATTTGCATGGGGAGGTCAGGGTAAAGTCTCTTCTCCATGCTTAAGATTTTCAAATGTCTACATAAGGCTAGATTCTCACACCCTTCTGAACAGTTATACACAGTGTGGAACCCACATTCAATGTAATATGTAAATATTCACATTGGGAGGCCTAATTATTGTGCATTCTCTACAATGCAAAGGAACAGCAGGAATCAGTGGCCTTGTGCTATATCGCTCCTTCAGAAAGGCAGCACAAGGGCCCCAATTCCCAGTTTTTCTTGTTATATCAGATGGAAAATAACAGCAGGGATTGGGATCCTTGCATTGTGTTTCAGGTGTCAGAAAAGTAGTGCACATGCTGATTCTTCTACATCCCTCATCTGTGCCTTCCACTTTGCCCCAGCTCCTACCCTACCTTCCTATCCATCTGCCTGATTCCCTGAGGGCCGAACTACATGTTACTTTAAAGATGTTGATAGTAGAGGCATTCACTTGTTGCTTGCATTGTGCTCCAGCTCTAATTCACCCCTAACCACCATGCCTGCCATTATATTGTAGTTGAATCACTTTTTGACCACATAAACTATAAGCGTGGGCTTTCTAATTTTGACTATAACTATGAGGGAGTTTAGACTCTTTACTACCTACCCTAGGGTCTCAGGTTTGAGACCCTCTTGGGTCACATTCCATAAATAAATGAATAAGTATTGCACAAACAAAGCTATGGATTCCGCCTGCAACATAGACCCTTTCTGTGAACATGGGAGTACTGGTAGCATGCTAGCATCACAGTGTAACTGTGTATGCAGAGCAAATGCTGGAAGCAATTGCTACCTGAGGCTGTAATGGCCCTGGAAACCCATGAAATTTGTGAAATATTGTTCAAGATTTCACCAAATAGGTCTGAACAGAGTACATTAATCCCTTTTACTAAAATGTGCAATATATATGCATGTTTTTAAAATTGAATGTCAAGAATAAATGTATTTTAACTTGCTGTACATGTGAAAATTCATACTGGATAATAGGTCTGAAATTTTTCATGATCACAGATTCCATCATGTAGTTCATTGATGTCGAGTTTCTATATATTAGTTCAACAGAATTTTGAGAGTTCCTGCCCTCTTTCTGGCAACATGCCTTAACTAAAGGTGCATTTCTGTGTCAAATGAAGTTTGGTTATATTTTCATGGGAATTAAGTTTCTCTATTTGCAGCTCAATTTCATGGTATGCATGCATAAAATTTCATTCTTGTATTCAGCTGGGCTTATTTTTGCAGTTTTCCCAGCTGTATGACAAACTGTGGCTGAAAACCACAAATCCCATGAACTGGAATGCTTGTATTTAAACCAACATAGTTTGCAAAACCCAAACTAGGTAAATGAAAATAATTGACCTTGGCTCTTCTTTTTGTACTGTTCTAGATCTGCTTCTGCTGTCAGAGACAAAGATGTTGTTCACACAGATCCCATGAATCTGTTTCATCTAGCAATTGGCAAAGATGAGCATCTCAAACTCATTTATTATACCTGGGAATGATTTAGTGAGGTCCATGTGCAAAAGTCTATATGCACTACCCAGTGAGATGTTTTCATGCCCAATTAATGTCAGTATGAGATTTGCAAAACCTCTTCCCAGATTATACCCTCTATTTTGAAATGCCCAAGTGTGTGTCAACTTGGGATTGTCCCCAGGAACCTGCTATCAAAAATGTGCATGGTTATTTCAGGCCAGCATGTGATTCCTCATCCCTGCAGCTGGGATGGGTAGCTTGGGTAGTTCTGCTCTCCCCTTTCTTGTCTTCTCAGATTCATGGTGACCTTGATTTCCCAAATTCTCCTCCCGTGATAGATCTCTTGCTGTATCTGGTCCTTCAGTGACCATGGAGACATGGGGTGTTGCAGTCCAGCATATCTGGAGAGCACTAACTCTACTATTCTGTGATTCAATGAAAGGCTGTGCTAGGGCAAGCCAGCCAATCACTGCTAGAGGCTTCAGCAGGTGGTCCTCTGAACATCCTTCCCCAGTCTGGGAATCCACAGGTGTGTTGGTCAGTAACACCCAGGATGGCTTGGGGATGTTGGAAGTTGTAGTTCAACACATTTGGAAGCCGTCAGGATGCTGTATTGTGTAACTAAGTTTGTGTTGGCCTTCTCAGTACTTGCATTCCCATTTTACAGATGGGGAATAAACTGAGGAAATTAAAAGCATGATGAAAAGCATGAAAAGGCTGTGGCATTTGGGGAAATGCTGTGGCATTTTGGAATGTGTGTGTTGCCTCTTGTTCAGGAACTAGTTTCCCGCTGTACCTTTGTTTCTGCCAGGGCAGCCCAGCTCAGCTTTGTGGAATTCAGCGGCACTTGTTCTGCCAGTTAGGGGGCTGATGTGCTTGGGACTGCAGCCTGAGTTTCGCTCTCCTGCAACTTTAGCTGTCACGACGTTTCTTCCTCTCATTCCTCCAGGCATCCCCAACGATCTCGAGTGGGGGCGTGCCAAAAAGTAGTTCACCTGCTTTGAGGGCCTTTTAAAGACACACTTGTAAACTGTTGTTGCTTGCTGGTGAAAACCGGGGAGGGGGGATCGAATTTGGGGGGAGGGGGTCCCAGCACTCGGCTGCGGCCTGTTCCTCTTCCCATCCCCGGAGTGCATGCGGCTTCTCACCTTTCGGCTCAGCATCTCTGGGTCCCCCCCACCTCTTTTCCTCGAAGAGCTCCGCCTTGGAGGAGGAGCTGGGTGGGACTTCGGAGCGCTGGACCCAGCGGGCTCCTAACAGCGGTGCGGGCTGCCTTTTCCGCCGCGGGTTAATCAGCCAACCTGCCAGCCAGGGCTGGGATCGGTCTTGCGGCTTCGCGGTCGCAGCGGCTCGGCGGTGGCAGATCCGCGCTGCTCCCGCGGCCAGGAGAGCCGCGCCAGCGCCGGCCGGGCGTTCCTGCCTGCCTGGGCTCCGGGCGGAGCGGCGGCCGACGCCGCGAGGGTGTGCGGAGCTGGCTCGGCGGTTCTCGGCGGCGGCGGCGGCTGCTGCGAGTTGCGCTTGGTGAGTGGCGGCGCAGCTGCGGGCGGTGCGCGCGGGGTGCGCTGCGCAGCGCAGCGCATCGGAGCCCCCAGTCGCTCCCTTCGGCTTCTCCGGGCCGTGGGAGGCGTCCTGGGAGACCTGGAGGGGTGGCAGGATGAGGCCGGTGGCTGAGCCGGAGCAAGCCGGCTAGAGTTGCTCTTAATTACCTGGATGGAGAGAGTCGTTTCAGCCCCGATCGTCGCCTACCACGCCATTATTATTGTAATAATAATACTAATAATAAGCCCTCTGGGCACATTTTTTCCTGGCTATTCTCTTTCCCTCCAGGATGGAGAAAACTTCCGGTATTTTATTTCTGAAGTTTGTAAGCGAAGGTTAATGAGGCGGCGTGGGGAGTCGCGGTTGCCTGGAGCGTCACTTTCTCACCTGCCGTACCTGCTTCGGATAAGTGTGGGGCCTGATCGTGGGCATCCGGAAGCCTTGTTCACACGTTCACCGTGAACGCGTGGGAGGCGCCGCGGGCGCCGCCGCTTCCGACCTCTCAGAGAATGGTTTGTGTGTGGGGCAAGGAAAGGGGAGCTTTGTATATGGTTAGAGATAGTTTCGACTTTAATTTTTGTGTCAGATGTTGCACGGCTGACCCCGGCATTTGAACCGTGCTCGCACTGGAGCCTTGATACAGATGATGTCCGGCTTGTAAACTGATCTAAGGGCAGGAGGTTGGGAGTCCTGACAGCTGCAGCACGGGAGAATTCGAGTCCCCGTAGACAGATAGACGGAGCCCTAAACTTTGCCCTTCAAAGCAGGGATGCAGCGCTCCACGCCTAAGAAATCCCCATTCCCATCCCATTCCCTAGCGTGTCTGCATGCACGCCTCCTGCCGTGTTTTCGCGTTTGTGTATTTGTTTCCCTGGCAGCTTCTGAGATGGAGAGAGCTCAGAGCCGTGGGCAGAGAGAGGCCTTGCGGGTGTTCATGCTTGGATCTCACACGCTGTCCAGGGCTGCTGCTCGCATACCTCCGATGAATGCGTATCCGTTATTTCCTGACCCCTGTCAGCTATTCCCATTCCACACCGCCCTCATCTCCCGATGGCCACAGGCTGGAGATCAGGTTTGCGAGTGTAATGGTGAGATTACACCAGCCCCTGCAGGTAAAGCAGTGCCTATACTTCTTAGACTAGGGAAGACTCCTCTGAGAAGCATCACTTAAATGATGGAAGAAACAAAAAGCAGAAGGTTTAATTGGCGATTTCAAAATCTCTCTCTTTAATGTGAAGCTTTATCTTAAATATTACATTTACTGGTGATGTATTAAAGTGTGTTCATCCTGCTAATCCAAGAATATCCTCCAGCACTCACATACAAGACAGCTCCTGCCTACAGGCAGAGCACACAAGGAAAAGAATGGGGTGTGAGGCGGGGGGAGAAAAATAGTATCCTTTGAATTTCTGAAAGTGCATGTATAGCTGCTTTATATAAGTTGATGGTTTCTTCTGGAATAAGGTGAAATGTACAGCACCTTGCACTAACAGGCTTATGTTGTCATGATGGGGGGAGGGTGAGTTACTTTGTTTCCCAAAGAGCATACTTTGGGTAAGAGTTAAATCTTGGGGAAAATTGGTGTGGAGAGCAAGGTATATGCTTCCCCCTTAGCTTCAAGGTAGTTATTCTAAGTCCTGCTTCTTGGATACAACCTTTTGCTACTGCCCACTGGAGGTCTTTTTAAATAGCATGGTGTATATTGTGACCTCACACGGCATACCGACCCTTGACACATGAATGTTCAGCTTATCCTGCAAATATATCCTACTACGTAGATAGGCTGTGTGAATGCAATCTGAGATTCTTCAAAAGGAAGGGTACCTGACAACACAGGCAAACTTGTATCCGTAGAATCATAGATTAGTAGAGTTGGAAGGGGTCCGGGAGCCATGGGGTCCAGCTCCCTGCTCAGTGCAGGATCCTGAGTTAACCCATTCCTGTTGCGCTGCATGTAGTTTGACCAAACAGAGTTCGTTCAGTGGCCAGTTTGAGTGTGTGCGTGCGTGTGCGCGCTGGGCAGCGGCAGGGGGTCAGATGTGATTCTGACTCTACCACACCCAGCTTGTTGCCTGGAAAGGGCTTCTGTCTTCTGTTACTCTAGAAACCCATTTTAAGCAGTAATCAGAAGGTTAAAGCTAAGGTTCTTACTGCAAACCGTATTTGTACCAAGTGCCAGTTCCTGTGGAAGATGAACAGTAGTGATGTTTCCTACTATATAGCATATTTTCCTGTGCACTTCTTTGAATGGGTGAGTTAATGCCTTTAAATCTCTTTTTCAGCTACATGTAGTGATCGTTTCTTTATATTCTTTCACCTGAGTGTTCATAGCTGTTGAGTGTTGGCCAGAAGTGACTGCTGTGATGTCACAGTGCATGTGGGCAGGCTGGGTAACTGTGACATCACCATCAATGTGGCTAGCAGCCATGAGTTGCTGTAATGATTCACCCCTGACCCTCTGGGTGTTTTAATGATACATGAGGTTGTAAAGCCCCCCCTCCCCGCCCACCCTTGGATAATCTAGTTCAGCCCTTCTACATCAAGGCTACAGCTGTGTATGTTAATCCTTGTGTACTGCTTTGGAACACGAAGGCAGTTTCTTCAATGCATGACTGCCTTTCATGCCATTGGTTTGCATAGATTTCATTATTGCAGTGTTGCAGCAAATTTAGATTGTTGTTTTCCTGCTGACACACTGCTGTGTCTTTCGGTTGCTTCACTTGGATGTTCCTGTGCCTTGGCTGCAATCTACCATCATCCTGTAGTTTAGCAAAATGTGAACTTTACTGAAATGAGTAGCATTCCACAAAACACGTAAGAAAGTAGTTGAGGAGCATCTGAGCTTGATTGATGGTTTCCACTGTATATCTCAAGTAAACATGTCAATGCAAATATAATTCTGAGGAGAAAAAAACAGTATCAGGGTTTGGGGTGATATATATTGCTTGAGTACAGTTTCTAAACCAACCTTTTCCCATCTGGTGCCCTCCAGTTTGTTCATTGTTTATTTTAACAAGTATATACCACTCTATTTGCTAAAGATCATCAAATTGGTGTACTACAATTTGAAGCAGTGAAACAGTAAAACAAACAAAACTCCCAAGAAAGTTGCAAACAGTAACAGTTTAAGAATAATTATCTTTGACGTGTAAGAGCACAATTCTAGGCATGTTGAGATTGCGATTCTTACAACCAATGTTGCAGAATATTTTTTGTCTAAACATGCATAGGGTTACACTATACATTGAAATGGCAGCCAGTGACAAGCGGGGTCCCCCAGGGCTCTGTCCTGGGGCCGATCCTGTTTAATCTTTTCATTAACGACATGGAAGAAGGGGTGAACAGTCTGCTGATCAAATTCTCAGATGACACTAAAACTGGAGCAGTGGCCACAACTGAGGAGCAAGTACTCCAGATCCAAAAGGATCTGGACAGACTATGGAAGTGGGCAGGAGACAACAGGATGGCGTTCAATGTGGATAAGTGCAAGGTCTTGCACTTGGGGCATAGGAATAGCTGTCATAAGTACAGGTTAGGTGACAAGTGGCTGGAGAGCAGCACTTGTGAAAGGGACCTCGGGGTACTGGTTGACTGCAGGCTAAACATGAGTCAGCAGTGTGATGCCATGGTCAAGAGGGCGAATGCCACCCTTGGTTGCATAGCCAGAAGTGTGGCTTCTAGATCAAGAGAGGTATTACTGCCACTCTATACAACTCTGGTGCGCCCGCAACTGGAGTATTGTGCTCAGTTTTGGGCCCCTCATTAAGAAAGGATATAGCCAGGTTAGAGTCAGTGCAGCGTAGGGCCACAAGGTTGGTGGTTGGTTTGCAGGGGATGGGGTTTGAGGCAAGACTGAGGAAACTGGGTCTCTTCAGCCTGGAGAAGAGGAGGGGATATGTTGGTGACATACAGGTATGTGAGGGGATGTCACATGGAGATGGGTAGAGACCTGATCTCCCCTGCAGAGGAAGGCAGGACCCACTCCAATGGAGCAAAGCTCAGGGAGCCAAGGTTCCATTTGGATACCAGGAAGCACTTCCTGACAGTCAGGACCCCGAGGGTGTGGAATGGGCTTCCACGAGAGGTCGTTGAGGCCCCATCGGTGTGGGTGTTCAAAGATAGGCTGGACATGCACATGGTGGGCATGTCGTGAGCGGAGCCGGCTGGTGCTGGAGGTCAGACTAGATGGCCCAGGAGGTCCCTTCTGACTCGCTCTGTTTCTATGTTTCTATCTCTTTATATCCCATCTAAAAGCCAAGAGAGTGCGGGGGTCAATCATAGTTATGGGGAGGGAACCTTCCACATTTTGGGAGTGATTCAGAAGAAGACATTTCACCTGTGTAGTCATAGATGGCTCTCTGCAGGTAATAGCCATCAAAAGGGCCCCTCCTACAGCTCTTAAAAATCAAACAGGTTCCTAAAAGGACAGGTGGTCTCTTCGACAGTGAGGGTCCAAGCCATTAGGGCTTTAAGGGTTCCAACCACCACCTTGAATTGAGCCCAGAAAGTAATGGGCAACCAGTGCAGGTATTTCAAGGCAGATGTAATATGGTTGTGTTACTATTTTCTATTTTGTTTATTAGATTTATGTCCTGCCATAAGAAACACATTGGAATTTAATGGTGGTTATAATTTATGTAGTACTGCTGATAATGGGAAAAGAATATGTTACAGCCGTGTTATTTTCTTCTGCAGAACTGGATGAAATTACATTTTATATTTGTTTTCTACCCTACCATGTGGGTAGCATTCTTAAAAGCAGGTGGCTATAAGAATGTGGTCATTGTCTAGTGGCATGATCCTCTTATCATTCCCAATCATATTTAGCCACATTTACAGTAGCCACAAAATTCCTGAGGACTGATTTGTGTATGCAAGCTATTACACCTTCTTGTTATTTATATCTTTTCCCCTCAGGAGTATAAGGTTAGGGTTCCTCCCTTTTATTTTCAGAACAACCCGATGAGGTAGGTTGCAAGTGA